AGGGGGAGGTCGTTGGCATTCTGGAGGGAGGAGTCCTCGGGGACGTCCAACTTCTTGAGGGCAGCCATCCAACCAAGGGTGAAACCCTTGTTGCATGCCTGTTTCACTTTTTTTTTGTAATCCTCCTTGACGTCGGTCACCCCCTCTGCGTATGCCTTCTCATCGGCGGCCTTGATCTCGGCCTCCTTTGTGGCTAAGGCATCTTGGAGTTCTTTTTGGGCCTCGGCCATCTTTTCTTCGGCCTCTTTCTTTTCGGCCTCAAGAACCTTTTTAATGGCCTCTGCAACATCTGTTTTTTCCTTGGCCACGTCTTTGGCTTTAATGGCTGTCGCAACCTGATCTGACAAGGTCTTCATTTTTTCCTCGGCCCTTTTGATGGCCTTCTGTAAACCACCAACCTCCCTGATCTTGTCGACCAACTCTTTTCTTATTTCAAAAGATTGCATAGAGAAGGAGTGGGCGTGCTGGATCGCCTGAAAGAAAATGGATAGAACAAAAGTTAGTAGAAATTCTCTAAGTATGGAAAAATAGAGAAAGAAAATTACCCAGTGAAGGGACTTACTTGAACGGAGTGTTGCAGCATCAAGGCGAAGTTTTCATACTGGCTTATCTCGGCGTTGCGATCAAGATCTCCAGGAAGGAGCAAAGCTGTAGTAAGGGCAACACCGACCTTAACATCATCGACATTATCGCCAGCTCTGATCGGCCTGTCCTCCAGTGTGATTGGGGGGGCCCAGGAGGAGTCAAGCTTCATGGAGCCCGAAGCTATTGCCGATTCGGACCTCGGCCTCTTCGACCGAGTTGATTGGGATGGTTCGGCCTCGACGGGCCTCTTCTCAGGGACAGAGGGGGTCTTCTCGCTCTCAGCCAATTTTGAAATTGGCAAGGTGTCCTCAGTGTCAATCCGAGTCACCGTTGCCTTAGGCTGGGCCTTCTTCATTCTTTTAGGCTTTGGTGTTGGTTGAGGCTAAGATTGTGCTGGTTGAGCGTTGACGGTGTCAGGGATGTCGGCTAGAAGATCTTCTGCGACTGCCTTCTTGCGACCCATCTCGGCAGGAATTACAGTTCGGCGTTGCCGTTGGGATAGTAGGATCAGCTGTGGAGCCGAGGTAGATGGTTGTTCTGCTGAATATGAGGTTGACCCCTGATCTGGCCAAGATGATGAAATTGTTGGTGGAGTTATGGCGGAAGGAGGAGACTTGTTTTTCTGCTTCCTTGGGACGTCGGGAAGTACCGACTTGTAGGTCGGGATGAAGTTGAGTAGTAAAGGAGCACTCCGCTTGTGGACTGGCAGGTCCAGCAACTTCTTAAGATCCTTGCTGGGGAAGAAAGACTTGTGAAAGTCTTTTGGTGGTTGTGGAAGAACTGCAAGAAAAACAGAAGTTAGAACATATGGAAAGAACGAAGTATTAAAGGCTTGAAAAAATGTAGCACTTGGCTCTTACCATTGCCCTCTACGAATACTGTTCGACTGAGAGGGCAGAGGTGAAGGTCGTTATCTGGAGCAAACTCCCAGTTGCCTGAGACAATGAAGTAATCATCCCCAACTCCCTTGTTGGAGATTGGGAGGTCGACAACAAGTTTGTATTCAGTAGACATCGGTTTGAGGTAGTAGACATAACCTTTTTCTAATTTGAGGCCACACATAGTGTAGCAGTATTGGATGTCGGCTAAGGTCACGCTAGCATTTTCTCGGCGTGCTAAGGTTATGATACCATTAATGACTCTGTATGAGTTAATGGTTAACTGCATTGGGTTAAGCTTGTAATAATGGAGGACTTCTCGAAAAAAGATGTCTAGTGGAAGCCTGAGTCCACACTCAATGAAGGCGACGACCAAGAAGGGCATGGAGTTGACTGTGGGCATAATGGAGTCGTCCTCCCCAGCCAACCTAAGGTGAACGTCGGCTGGAATGGAAAACTCCCGCCTAAAGTATTCTAACTTGGTCGGGGTGTCTACCCTATGCTTCCACATACCCATGATGTCGGCTTGAGGGCAAGGTGTAGGATTTCAAAAGGAAGTGTTTTGTGACGGTTTTGAAGGATCTCGGCTAAAACCTAAATGTGAGCTGGAGTAAGAATTTGTAGGGATTTTAAGGGGAATTCATTTCAGTTTTTCCTAAAATTTGTGGGTTCTACAAGCAAATCCCAAATCTAGATCTATGGAAACGAAGATTGAAGGCACGAATCTGGAAAAAACACAGAAAACAAAAAACAAGAACGTGTTTCAGAATCAAGAACAGTGATGAACTATTAAGAACACTGTGACAAAGTGTGCACAAGGGTGCGAGGCCAAGAACAGTGGCAAAAGTGAACAAATTTGTGAGCAGTGTGCGTGTATTCAAGACACGAATTGGGCAAAAGCAAAATCGTAAAATAAACGTGCTTAGATATGTGATTCATAAATCAAGAGCTTGAGCAAAACAACAATGGCAACGAATAATAAAGTAAAGCTTTTTGAAGAGAAACAAGGAATTGAAATAAAAAGGAATAGTGACTAACCAAAGAAAAATGAAACCGAAGTAAAGTTTGTCGGGATCAGACGGTAGCCGGAAGCAAGGAAGTGCAGCAGAAGCCTCGCCGGAGGAGGGAGTGAGACTGGTTGCAGAAAGCTTTGCGAAAGCAGCAATGGAGGATTTAAGAGAGTAAAGAGAGAGAGAGAGAGAGAGAGTTTTTGCACGAAGACAATGATGTAAAGTGAAAAGACAAAGAGAGAGGGTGCTAGTTTTGTAAAAAACACAAAAAGGCGGCAAAATGAAATTGATGAGCCTAGAACGACGTATTTGTCAGACGGCGCATGCAGGCGCAAGGCGACTTAAATGGCACGTATCGGACACAGTCCAGTGGGGGATAGACCCATGGTAGAAACGATTGAATTGCAATGCGTGACAGTTAATACGCATGTTGAAACTCTTGAAGTTCTCAATATAATGAAGCAAAAATCTCGGCTAAGGGGACGATCTCGGCTTAAACGGACTTGGTTGTTGGTTCCAAAACATTGATGAAAGCAGGCTGTAGGTCTTGGTCGTATTAAAACGATAAAGTTATGACTTCGGCAATGAATGATAAAGCGAAGATTAGCCGACGTGCTAAATGGAAGGAATGATATAGGTTCCTTCACCTCAGTATGCTGAGGTAATAGAACCTAGGGGATAGTTGTGGGGACATAATTTTTGAATGAAAACACGTGGCCGAGGTGTCACCGAAGTGCCAGCTGAGGTGCCACGTGTCCTGGTTGTGATGTCGAGATGATCTTGGATAGGCCGAGGTTATCTGCGAGAATATCGAAATCCGGAATAAGCGGATAAGGGACAAGAGTCCTAAAGTGAGAGAAGACTTCAATTTGGGTAAAGATAAAACTCTTAGAGAGTTTATCTCAATCCTACTAGGAGTCCAAGATTAGTAGTAATCCTAAGTCCACTAGAGCTAGGCTTCTATTGGGACAAGGATTGTGTTGGCTATAAAAGGGAGGCACCACCATGGGTCTAAGGTATGTCTATGCTTTGTCTAGTGAGTTAAGCACTATTGGTTATTTTTTAGAGATATTTTACTAACTTGATCGTCGGAGTGCCCCGGGTGGACGAACCACCGCGAGATTCTTATCTTTCTGTGACAGGTTGTTTGGGCTTAATCTATTCTGCCGGTGCTCTCCAGCTGAGTTTTCCTTTTTTAGTTGTATAGTCAGAAATCAACACACACAATATGATAGAAGAAAAACTTATAAAATTTGTTAATTTACATTACATTATTATTTATGAAAACGTTATTTGTAGATCCCATCATTACATATAAGAAGGAAAAACTTTGTTGAACCTTATTCTAAATTTGACAAGAGATATGACAGGTTATTGGAAATAGTTTTGGAGAAGTTTTGCAAATTTAAGTTTTGACAAATATCTTAGCATACAACAAAATAAGCTCTAATATATCACCAATAAATTGATTTAATGACCCCGCATTCAATGCTTTGCATCAATCAATGACACATTAGATGATATCTAGATTTAATCATTGTAATATTCTTTTTCTTATTTAATTATTGAAAGATCGAAAGAAAAATATTAAATAAAATAATTATAAATTAAATAAAATGTAAATGAGATATATACCCAGCATATAATAGCTTTCACTTGCTTTCTATTAGTTTACAGTCTCCTCCTCTAAACACTACAAGAAAATGAGCTATTTGAGTCCCATTATTTGTGACAGAAATATTTGCTGACTCAAAAATGTGTTATTAGCGTCGGCAAAGTAGGACCATCTCAAAAAAAATTTACTTAGTGTTATTATTTGAGTCGGCAGACTATGCCGTCACAAAAAATTTTTATTTGCGTTGGCCAAATTTTTACCGTCGCAAACAAAAATTATTTAATTTTTTTTCCACTTTTTTGGCTCCAAAAACTACATCGTGCGCCTTTTTTTCACGCCATTTCAGGTCACTTTTGCGTCGGTATTCTGTGCCGTCACAAAAAGTAATTGAAAAAAATTAAAATGACATAGTTTTAGAACCTAATATATATACCCTTCCTCTTTATTTTTTTTTCTTTTCTCTTTTTGCCCTAAATTCAATCTTGGTTCATCACTACAAACAAACTCTTCATTGACACCACTGATTCTCCTCTCCACCGGCACCGCCGATTCTCCTCTCCACCGGCACCGCCGATTCTCCATCTCCACCAGCACCACCGACTCTGCTCCCCTCCACCAACACCACCGACTATCCTCTTGCGGGTAAGTGCTCTCTCTCTATATATATATATCAGTCTCTGTAGGAATTGAAATACTAGATGATTTGAGTGTTTGATTTGTGTTCTTTCACCCCTCGTTAATTCTGAGCTTTCTCTGGAATAAAATTGGGGAAAAATGGTGTATGCATTTGTAATCTTCATTGGTTGAAGTCCTGACAACTATTTTCAGTTCCATGTTCTAATCTTCATATCCTTGTTGTATATAATCAGGTAAGAGCAATGGTAATTATAAATCCCGGAAATCTTACTGGACAGTGTCTTAGTGAAGCTAATTTGAAAGAAATTTTACGATTCTGTTACCAAGAAAACTTAGTCTTGCTCGGGGATGAAGTTTATCAGCAGAACATTTACCAGGATGAGCGCCCCTTCATAAGCGCAAGAAAGGTATATATTCTTATGTTGTTAGATCAATGATGTCCCCAAGTTATGTTTCCTCTGAGAGACTGACATTATAAATTATGCTTTAATTTTTTCGTATACTGGAAGGTTCTGTTGGACATGGGCCCACCCATAAGCAAGGCGGTCCAGCTTGTTTCTTTTCATACTGTGTCCAAAGGATGTTGGGGGTGAATGTGGACAGCGCGGTGGATACTTTGAGATGACTAACATTCCTCCACAGGTTTGCCTTGCTGTGATTTGCTAATGTCTTCCATATGATTCTTCAATTGCAAGCTAGTCTCTCTTCTTTCTCTCTCTCTCTCTCAGAGAAAGATTTTTTTCTTTTAGAAAGCAAAGATTGTTTAGGAAAGGCATCGAAAAGAGATGCCATCTGTATACAAAGGGAAAAAAAGAAGACAGAAAATACAAAAACAAGATGTCCACCTTCTCAAGTATCAAAACA